TGCAGATCAGTTGTTGGGAATTTGGAATGCATTTTCCCAAGGGAACCAGACCATAAATGGAAGCTAGGCCAGAGGATGGAAATGGATTTCCCCCAAAATGTTATTCAATTAGATTACTCAGAGCTAGTCCATAGTTTATGGTTCAGAGAGACGGGAGCCTGGTGGCATAATTCCTTTCAGGGGCAGGCTGGGCCTCCCATAGGCCAGGGACTTTTTGTCTGGGGTTTGGTATAGTTTAGGAGGGGATTAAACCTGAGAAATCATAAGAATGGTTTTAATTGTGTTTAATAACAAAGCTATCATCTGACATATATCTATGACGACATATTAAAGGAATAGCCCATTTGCAGGAGCTAGAGATGAAGTAAATTCTAAATTACTATCGAATCAGCAGGCAGGCTTGTCTTAGAATTTCATAGCAGCCAAAGAAGTTCTGTCTGATATAAATGTCTCCTAATCCCTAATCCAACATGACTCATGTCCTTCTAAAAAGGAGGAATTTGGACACAGACACACACACAGAGGGAGAACACCATGGGAAGATGACAGCAGTGATCACGGTGATGTGGTTAGCCAAGGAAGTCTAAAGACTGTCAGCAAACCAGCAAAATGGGAGAGGCATGGACGAGATTCTCCCTCCCCGCCCTCAGAAGGAGCCAATCCCACCCACACCTGGACCTCAGACTTCTAGCATCCAAAACAATAAAACGACAAATCTCTGTTATCTAAGTTTGTGGTACTTTGTCACGGCAGCCCTAGAACACTAATCCAGCCGTGACAGTCGTCACAGATAATGGCAGGCAGCATAATCCCACCACCCGGGAGGTTTGTCACAGCTGGCCGGGTCAGGGATCTCTAACAGAGGCTGACCGGGACTGCTGCGAGAGCTACGCCCAACCGGAGCTCCCAGTACTGGCCACCCAATCAGATTGTCTTTCTTGAGGGGTTTAAAGAGAAAGCAAGACTCTCTGAAAAGGGGGACACAGGTGGTAGAGAGGCGCTGAGACCAAGAGACCCACCTGCAGAAGCCATGGAGGAACTGGTCATAAGCAGATCCTTCAAGAGAAGAGACGAGATAGGCGTGGGGAACAGCAACAGAGATAGAGACAAGCATGAAGCAGAGGCCAAGGCAAGAACACGGAGGCCAGGACGCACTTGTGGGGGACTCCCTCAGAGCAAGAGCACCCCCACCGCCCTTGAAGGCTGAGAAGATGCTCACCCCACTGCTCCTAGGGGACTGCCAGAACCACCACTCTCCTAAACCACGTGCTAGCTTCCAGGATGCTCAGCATCCTTGCCTCCCCCATGGAGCCTTAAAATAGCCTCAGCCCCACCAGCTGAGACACCTGAGCTGGTCTCTGACCCCCTGCAACGGGAAAGCGATGAACACATTACTACACAGGCAGCACATGATCCCTGCAGGCATTTTAGAAAAGATAAATGAGGCAAAATCAGAAAATAAAGGTCACTTGTGACCCCCCACCACTCAGAAATAACCAATGTTAATATTTCAGTTATCTTTCCTCAAAGTCTTCTATTCTATGCATGTATTTTTACAAAATAGGGTAATACTACATGTGCGGTTTTATAACATGGCTTTTCTCTAAACAGCATCTAATAAACATTTTAAAAACCAACAGAAATTTATCATTATTCATAAGGAAAGTTCCATCCTACTGTGTGGGATGTGTGCTAATCAATTTCGTGTTGTTGGAAATTTAGTTTGTTCCATTTTCATGTGCAAACACTTTGATCTAACAATCCTACTTTTAGGAATACATCCTGCTGGTTTCTAAGAATGTATTTACAGAGACGTTTATTGCAATATTATTGACAATAGCAAATGTCGCTAGAAACAACCTGTATGTCCACCAATATGGGAGGACTGAGTAATTTACGGTATATTTGTACTATGAAATTTTGGACTGCTACTAGGAATGTTATTTGTAAAAATGACCATGGTCTACTACCAAGTAAAAAGTAAATCACAAGCTAACTGGATGATGTGAATTTCGCTCTTGATTAAAACTTTGTAAACGGAAGTGGGGAATCCAGATACGTATTTTTACAAATTTCCATTCGTATCTCTATAAGGAAAGTAATAGCAAAAAATGCACACAACTGTTAATACTGTTCACCTTAGGAGGTGGTGGTAGAGATATTTGACTAGTTACAATAAATATGTACTGATTTTGCAACTTGAATAATGTAATAGAATACATTTTAAGAAGTAGCAGAAAAAAAGAGCATGCTGTCCCAGGGCAGGGATCAGGGCAGGGATTTGAAAGTTTAATCCCTTCAGAGATGCTTCCAGGAGATAGAACAGCGCAACAGAAAGAGATTCAACAGAGACAGATTCAACAATGCTCCTTATCACTGCGTTACCTTCAGCAAGTCATTAATCTCCCTGGGCCTCAACTTCCTTGTCTGTACAATGAGGACGATAACAATCTCTACCCATCAGGGTTGATGTGAGGGCAATGCCCGGAAAGATAGCAAACAAGCATTGGCATTTTGTCACACTGTTCATTCAGTTTAATTTATAATTGGTACAATTCAAAATGAAGTTCAGTGCAAAGGAAAACAGACCTATTTAACCCCCTCTGCGGGCATGGAGTGCTGCTCAAGAGGCTGCCCCAGGACAGCTCCTCTAAGCTACTCATGGCTTCATCTCAAAGTTACAAGGGCACTTGGATTTGGGGTGAGGGAGGCGGTTCTGGGGATGGGGAGAAGCAGGGGTTACACAGGGACCATTGGGAAGCTGGGGGCTGCATTCCTTGGGAGCTCTGAGGATTGATTTTTCACCATTTTTAAATAGCTGAGAATTCCCTGGGGAGCTTCTTGGAGAAAAATGCTATTTTGGGTAAGAAAAAAAGTAAAACCTCTACTGTAGCTGTGGCTGTGGAATCGGGGAGGGAGCCTATCTGGTACTTCAGGCTCTGAGAGGCAGGCCCCCTGGTGGGGGTTGGTGGGGCGGGGTCACTCAACGCTTCCTGCTGCCATTCCCACCCTGGACTCAGGGTGGCACTGCTCCCTTTTCAACGATGGTCATTTATCCCTGCTATGCTGTGAATGGTAAAATCAGCCGGGACTCTCCAACAAGGCTGTCCTAGAAGCTGAAGAATAACAAAAGGGAAAGACTCAGAGGGCACCCTGAGTTAGAACTCTAGCTCACCAGTGTAGCTCATTCCCTGCAGATCACAGCCCTCCTCCCTCTGCACCAGGGACCCCAAGACTAGGACTCCCGAGTTCCCCACCTCCAAATCTCAGGCCCCACTACATTTGTGGGGCCCTAGGCAAGAGGACAAATAGAAGCCCTGGTGCCAGTTGGGCAGGAATCCTGGTACCCAGAGTCTAGTCCGGGAGTGTGTATTAGTCTCCCAGGGCTGCTGTAACAAAGTACCACGAACTGCGTGGCTTAAAACAACAGAAATTTATTGTCTCTCAGTTCTGAGGCTAGAAGTCCAAAATCAAGGTATCAGCAGGACCACATCCCCTCTGAAATGTGTAAGGGAGAATCCTTCTGGCCTCTTCCTAGTTGCTGGGGGTTTGCAGGAATCCTTGGCGCTCCTCGGCTTGTAGCTGCATCCCTCTGATCTCTGCTCCATCTCCTCCCAGGTGTCTGTGTCTCATGGGAACTAACTACATCTACAATGACCCTATTTCCAAGTAAGGTCACAGTCTGAGGTACTGAGGGTTAGGATTTCAACATATCTTTGAGGGAACTCAATTCAACACATAAAGGGTGGGTGTATAGACTCCTTCCACCACGGGAAGGGATGCAGCCTGAGGAAGTACTGAGCAGGGGCTTCTCTTGCTCTGGGCCAGGACAGTCCTGGGGTCGGGCGCATGGAGAGATGACATCCTTAACCTCCCACCACTGGGGTATACCCTGAGACATCTGGACTCCTGGAAATCTGGATCGTGACAGGCCAAGTTTCCTCTCAGTGCCTCTTTTCTAACTGTGGACCCGCCTCACATCCAAAGATTGACACCAGGAGAGACCTCACCCTTCAGGCAGGACCACAGTAGCTGACCCCAAAGCCTTTCTCTATCAGCCCTTGACAGTATCTCAATAAAACAGCAACCAACCTCGTTATGAACGATCGAGTCCTACAGTAATGAGGGGCAGGTGTAGGAGCTGTCCTTCCAGGAGCACAGAGTGCTCCTCCTCTCTCAAGGGACAGATAATTCTGGCCTTAATGCAATGCTTCATCTGCTCCGTCTCCAGCTGCTGGGAAAGCAGGCTCCCAAAGCAGCCCCAGTGAGAGATAAGGGCTCTCTGCCTGAAATGAAAAATTCATGAAGGAAGACTAGGGATCGGGCACTCGGATAGCCGCCAAGTTGCTGTGCTCTGGGGACATGGCAAGAGGCTGGAAAAGCCAAATGGAAATTTTCTCTCCTCTCCAGCACCCTCCGCTTCATTGTTCGGTGGAGCTCCATCTCTGCTGTATGGGCTCACACCTCCTCAGTCTCAGCCCCCGGGCCAGCACCAGCAATGTTCATATGCCAGGGTGTTCAGGGAGAGGGAGATCTCTCCTTAACTCAGACCAGGCACCCACCAGCAGCCTCAGCAAAACGTGCCCTGTCGCTAGAGCAAGCTGGCACAGTCCTGACCACCTGCCACTCCCATACCTGGAGGAGCCCCAAACTGGCTATGATATACCCCTGGGAGGACCCCTCTAGATTACATTCTGTTCCAATTCCCTGCCCTGGAAATCTGACCAAAATTCACAAGATGGGTCAGATGGTCATTAACTCACAACTTGGGGAGGAAGCTTTGGATCTGTTGTCACCATGCTGGGCAGACAATGGTTCAGATGGAGCTAAAAGGGAAAAACCCCTCAAACATAAGAGTTGGAGAATTTGACTCTAATGTGGGGATGGGTTGAGAAGAGTCACTGGTTGGCCTGTGATATGCAAAATGGCACAAGAATCACAGATGCCAGTCCACAGACAGTGAGCACGGGGGACAGTGGCTGACCCCCAGAAATCAGGTAGGAGAACAAGCTGCTATCGCAGAGGAATCGGCCACCCGACTCCGCCGCTGGCGGAAACTGGGAACTCGAGTCTCCTGTTGCAGGGCTGCAGTGCTTCCTCCTAGTCACAGGTGCCACAGGAAAACCTCACCCCACTGTCCCTGCCCAGGGATTAGCTGGGGCCCTCCAAGGAACATGCCTTCCTGCATGTGTGTGGGAGCCCATCCCAGGTTCCCAGTGCTTTGGCTCTGGATCCCCAGTTCTTTCAGGCCTTTCCCATTCAAAGAGGGACCTGGGCTCAGGCAGCTGCCTCTCATTGAATAGCAACCCTTGGTCCCTCCTTCCCAAAGTCCCTGAGAACCACCCCATGGCCTGTTTTTCAACACCAACTCCCAGAAACAAAGGATTCATTCTGCTGTTTCCTCCAGATTAGAGCTCCATAAAGATGAGCACTGGGAGAGAGTATACCTCAGTGGTAGCATGTGTGCTTAGCATGCATGAAGTCGTGGGTTCAATCCCCAGTACTTCCATTAAATAAACAAACCAACCAACCTAATTACCTCCTCGTCCAAAAAAAAAAAGATGAGCACAGATCTCAAAAACCCTAACACCTACCTGCCCTCCACCCCGACATAAACAGGAATCTCTCAAAAAAAAAAAACCCACAACAAAAAGACAAAACACAAGTTACACAGGCCACCCTGATATACTTGGGAGCCTTGCCGTTCAGACTACGACACCAAGTCCAAGTGTAATTGAGTTATTTCTTCTTCTATATGTGGAATGTCTTTTGGAGCTTTTTCCTAAGATTATAAAAGTGATTTATACTCACATGGAACACTTGAAAAGTTAAGTATAAAGACAAATGGGGGCAGAAAGTAGCTATAATCTCACCACCCAGAGACAACTTATTAATATTTTGACATATTTCTTTTCTAGTTTTGTCTTGTGACTTTTTTATTTCACTTGAAATCAAACCAAATACATAATGTTGATCAAGAGCATTTTTCCCATGGCATTAATGATACTTCACAAACATATTAATGGCTGCATAACTGTCCACAATATGTATGTACTAGAATTTGCTTAATTTGATCAATCCTCTGCTCTTGGACATCTAGGCTGCTTCTGTTGTTTTGCTAACTTAATTTAAATGATTCATATTTCTGCATTAATCCTTGTCCATCCGTTTAGAATATTTCCTTAGGATAGAGTCCTGGAAATGGAATTATAAGGTCAGAGTTTCCAAGGCTACAAACATTTTCAGGATCTTCTTTCAAATTTCCAAATGACTTTCCTGGAAGCTTGTACATCCCAGCAGTGCATGAAAAGGCTGTCTCTGCAAGACTGAATTCTAAGCCCCACCAGGTCCATCAGACCAAAGCTCCACCAGTAAGGGATGATGGGGCCATGACTGAGAGCTGGGGTGAGGGACAAGTAGACCCAGCCGTGAGGAGCTGAAACAGGCAGAGCTGGCAAGGTCAAGGCTCATGGAGACCACCAAAATCTGAGGGCACGTTTAAGACATGAATTCCCGAAAATACAGCCATAAATGGAAAGAGAGAAGCCTTTGGACTCCAGGACTGAAAGAAAAGACTGTTGGAGTCCTGAGGCCATGCTGAGGTCCAAGAAAAAACACAGTGAGTGAAGAAGGGTGGTGAGGGCCGTGGAGGTGTTGTTCATTCAGGAATATTAAGGTCATTTGGGCATGATGTGCACTAGGGGTAAGTCCGGAGGAGGTTGAGGAATTGATTTTAGAGACAAGACATTCCAGAATGGATTGGTGGGGGGGTGGTTCTAACTCTGGCAAAGAGAGAATAAGCATAGTTTCAGATGTTCTATTGTAAAATGGGCGTGAATATGTCACCGAGGAGACTTAAAGCTGGCCCGCCTCACCTTACTGATTTCTACTATTGACTGAATGAGTCACGTTTATTGGAGAAGAATTTCCTTTTAATTTTTTTAATCTTGCTTCTTTGACTAGATCAAGTCTCTTTAATCAATCACAGTTGCCTCTTCTTCAGAGAATGTGGAATCCTTTCTTTTTAAATCAGGTTGATTGTTTTCTGATTACACATGCAGAATTTACTCATAACCCAAAAACCATAATATACAGAAAAACATGAAGTATGAGGAAGAAATCTGTAACCTGAACACCAAAAGATAACCACTGCAGACATGTTGATAAATGCCTGCCAGATTTTTTCTTGTACATATTTTCTCTCTCTCTCTCTCTCTCTCACTCACACACACACACACACACACTACACACAGAAATGTAACTGTATTATACCTATAGCCATTTCTTATTGTGGTAAAATATATATAACATAAAATCTACCATTTTACATGAGTCTAACGTATAACCAGGGTGGAACGCTTTGAGCCATTCTCCTCATCTGAAAATGAAGACTGTACGGGGATTAAGTAAAATAAAGAGGGAAAGGATCTGGCATGAGCAGGGACTCCAAGTGCCTGCTATTACTCATCTTCTCTCTACTGTTGTTTCTACCTTAGGGGAAGAGTTGTCTCCAGGCATGTCCAGGGCTCATGTGTCCCCTCTCTCCTCAAAAAAAACCCTAGTCACTTTTGTCATCTTGCTTCTGGATCATTGCCCACCCCCACCCTCCCAGCATATTAAGCCTATTTCCCATTGGCTCCTCCCTATGTCTTTTAAAATACTCTGAGTGCCTGCATCACTCATCTTGCTGCCATCCTGTTTCCTGTCTCTTCTCATGGATACATTTCTCAAGCACGTGGCCCACAACTGGGCCAATTCCTAGATTTTCCTTAATCCCTGGGGAAAAGGGCTAGTCTATCTACCTCTGACCCTAAACTTTACCACACAGACACCCAAACATTATCAAAAATGTTCGAATGGTCAAACCCAAAGGTCTTTCTCAGTAATTATTCTACTTCAGTTCAATTAAACAAACATATTTAATTTAGTGCCTAGTACCACTGGGGTACAGAGATGACTAAGTCACTATCCTCGGCCTCAAGGCGTGGAGAATAGGAGTGGCTATTATGTAAAAAAGTCAATAGTACTGGTGAGATAAGAGCTATGATGTAAAGTGTGAACTGTGTGAGTTCTTGACCTCAGCACCCAGCCTTAGCACAGGGCCTTGAGTACAAATATTTTTTGAATGAATAAACTCCACAGGAAGATGAGGAAAGACTTTATCAATGACAAGACCTCACAGCAGAGTCCCAAAGGATGAATAGGGTTTTCCAGGGGGGGAAGTGTATAGGTATATATTCCAGATGAGGTCAAAGGCATGGGAGCAAGAAACAGCATGGCATATTCCAGAAATGGTGATGATGTAACTGGATAACACGGAAGTGTGAAACAGGAGGAGGGAAGGCTGTACAGGAACGACAGAGAGGAGGTGGAAGGGCAAGGAGAAGCTGAAGGACCTCCTGTGCCTCCAGTAAGAGTTTGAACGTTATCACTTGGGTAACAGAAGGCATTCCAGGGTTTTAACAAGGAAGTTGGTTGATTAAAGTTGCATTTTGGAAGACAGCCTGGCAGCCACTTAAGCTACTAGGAGAGGATGAAAATACTTGGGAAGGGTGTAGGGGAGAGAAGAGCAGAGGGCTGAGGACAGAACCCTGGCTGAAGAGTCAGACACAGGAAGAAGGGTCCACAGTACAGGCTAATGGGGGAGGCAGGGAAAAGCAGAGGTGCCTGCCACCAGAGTCACCAAGACACCAAGAAGTCAAGTAAGGGGATCTGAAAGATGTGACAGTGAGTGGGGGTTATGGTGACATCGTCAGAGCCGGTCCAGTGGAGCAGCAGGGCCAGAGCTAGAACCAAGCAATGGGCACGGCAGACCATCCCTCCTCCCCTGGTCTCCATGACCAGGTGCCTACTCTCTCCTGTCTCTCTCCGTGGAAATAGAAACTTAAAAATATGAAGCCATGGGAATCAATGCCTTTGCTGGCACATTGAATGTTAGTTTCCTCTTTTTTAAAAAAAAAACAGTCTTATCTAAAAAATATTCAAACATATACACAAGCAGAGAGAATCTTACACTGAAACCCAGGTAACCATCTTCCACCTTCAACAACAATCAACTCCTGCCCAGGCTTGTTTTACCTCTATGAGTACATTGCGTTATTTTGAAGCAAATCCCAAACATCACATCATTGCATCAATAATCATGTCAGTATATGCCTCTGACACATAAACACTTAAAAAAAAATCACAATACAATTAATATACCTAAAATTAACAATTCATTAATATTATCCAAAACACAATGTGTTCAAAGTCCCCAATTGTTTCATTATTTTATTTTATTTTT